CTTCTCAGTAAAATCCTAATTCTAGATCATTTTTTTCTAATCCAAACAACAATCAGATCAATCGGGACATCTAAAAAAACAGTTGAGAAGTTTAGATCGCGATTAGCTTGATCTAGAAAATAGAGATCCGGTTCACCCAAGTAAAATCACTAGATCTGAATACTAGATATCAACCGAGAGATGTTTAAGTAAAGGATCTAATTAGTGGAACCATAACAGTACCTGCAGCTCCAGTAACGAGGACGCGAACTGGTTCTTTCGCCAATCGCCATTGACGAAGATCGAAGGATAACAAAAAAACGATGTCGTTTAGCAAGAGCTCTGTCATAATTGGTTTTTACCTAGGTACGAATTTTTTACTTGACGAGAAAAATAATGGGAAAAAATAATTTTGATTTAAAAAATATTTTGAGAGTCGTCATCGGTTTTTTAAAAGAGTTTTTAAGAAAACGTCAATTAAAAGATAAATTGGTCTGTGTTTATAACCAAAAATTCATTCTTTTTATTAACAAAAATGGATTCGTGGTCGGTTACGTTTGGGGAAGGATTAACACCACACAACGCCCAAAATTAGTACATTAAGAATTCGAATATGTATTTAATTTATGCTCCTATTATTTCGTATTTTAAATCGGATAATTCTAAGGAAGAAAAAAATATTAAATAATTTTTATAAATTATAAATAAAATATTTATTTATTTAAAACATCAAAAAATGCCATCTAGTTGCTTTAAGAGTGTTATTTCTTAATATTTGAAAATTAAATATTAAAAATAATAATTTTTTTAAGAAAATAATTTAAATAAAACAATATGTGTTTTCTGGTTTTTATAAGTATGATATTTATTTATTTTTAAAATATTAGAATATGACATCCAATTGCTTTAAGACTGCCCTTTTCTTTGATATTAAAAATAAATAAATATTTATTATTTTAAAATATATATATATATGACTAATATAATAATAAAATAATAGTTAAAGTAATAATTTAAACATATTGAAAAATAAAGGACAATAATAAAAATAAAAATGCAAATAAATAGTAATTAAATAAAATTAAACAACAAGATTAAAATGTAAAATATCAAAATTAATGAACCTAATTCGAATTATTATAAAAATATAATTACTAATAATGTAATTATCCCTAATTGATTAACCAATGATTAAAATATAAATTATTAAAATCTAAGGGGCTAAATATGTTATTTACCCTAAAGATATATGAATATACAAGTAAGGATTAAAATAAAATAAATCAAAACTGAAAGACCAAATTAAAAGGTATATAAATTTATTTTAGTGACTAAATTGAAAGTTTATAGAGCTATGAGTGACTGCGGGTGACATTTACCCTTTTCCTAAATTGCACAGACACCCCTCCCCAAAACGACACAGTTTAGGGAGGGGTATATAAACTCATTTAACCGGCCTCTAAAGGCCAAATTTTCATTCTCTCTCTAACTGAGAGAGAAAAAATTTTCTCTGCCTTCTCTCTAGGCTTCTGTCGCCTAAGAGAAACCGACCACCTTGCTCCGACGCAGGTAGCCATCAGTGGTCGAAAAATTTTAAAAAAACCCCAAAAGATAGATCGGAACGTGCTAATACCGATTCTGGTGTTCTTTTTCCCTAAAAGACTCCCAATCAAAGCAAATCTACGAAAGTACCTTCGGTTTTCGAAGGCTTTTGGTGGCGCTTAGAGACCAGTGGTGACTCCGATCGAGGTGTTGTCTTCCCCGATAAGTTTCTCTCGCTCTTTTCTTTTTGTTTTGGGGTTTGCTTCGTAGTTGTTGGTGTTGGTGGTTCCTTGTTATTTTTCTGTTGTTGTCGTCGTTGTTGGTTTATGTCGTGGTTCCTGTTTGTTGTCCGTATTGCTCTCTCTATCGTTGTCCTCTTTCTCTGTTTGTAGGTGGTCGGCTTTTATAGTCTCCACCGAGGATGTTCTCGGACCAGTCCAAAGGGTTGAGCCTCGGTGAGTCACCATAGTTATGGTGGTGACTCACCATAGCTTGACTTGTGGAGGGGCAGCTGGCTTCTGGAGGCTTCGGCGGCGAGGTGGCGTGGCACTGGAGTGTTGGCAACGGCTGGATGAGGCATCTGACAGAGGCGGTGCCGCATGGATGTTCTGGAAGCTTGGAGGCGGCAGATGGGGCTAGGGTTATAAAACCCTAGCTGAAACCCCAAATGGTTTTAGGGTTTCCATATAGTATGGACCGGTTCTAGGTCATTGTTGGGCTTCGGGTTGTAAATGGGCTTCGGGTTTTGTAATATATTTTGGGCTTGTATAATAATATATATAATAATAATATGATGATGAAAAAATTAATGTCTACAAGCTCAGTAGAGAGGCCGAGACAATGACTATAAGCTGAGGCGCAATGATCAAACGAAGGAAAATATTGATAAAACCCATTGTCCAATTCTAGTTTTAGTCCCTCCACTATGTTATAATTTAAAACTTATATTTTTAGTTTATCATAATTTAATCTTTAAATGTTACATGTAATTAGTTATTCTTATTGAAGTGGTCATATAAAATACATTTAAATAAAAGTAATAATTGCATCTGCAAGGCGTCGATATTGTCAATAACTAAGAAAGATTATAAACAGATACTACATTGTAAATGTTCATAATCTTTCTTAATTATTGATAACGTAGACGCAATCTACAAATGAAGTTGTTCGAACCCAGAATCTCTAGGGAGTATATTACGCTAATGATAACTATTAATGTTATAAATTTGGACTTATAATTAATATTATAAATATAGAAAGATTGCATTATGACAAACTGAAGTACATGGATTGAAATTAAAATTGTAGCATAAAATGTGGATTAAAATTTGAATTAGACCTAAAAACAAGAGGGTTTTGAGTTTTGCAAAACTGTATGCTTAATTATCCACACACAAAAAACTGTGTGCTTAACGTCGTCGTTTGGAGGTGAGAGAGAATAAATGACGTTGAGAAGCATGCCGCGCAGATGGCGTGAGAGAAGTGGGAATCATCATGCTTGTTACCGTTGGAGCTAGGGAGGATCATGATTTGAATCAGATCGAGTCATATTTTTTGTTATTCAAATTTGATCTAAGTATAACATCGTTTCATTCGTCATTAGACCCCAATTTAGGAACATTTGACTGGAAACTCAGTTCGATTTTTAAAGTAAAAAATTTGTATTGAATTAGAGTCGACAAAAAATATATATAATTCTCGTTTTTATAATGTAAAATAAAGATTTAATTGAAAATATATAGAGAGAGAGGAGTATTATAAAAATCATTACTAAATATATAAAGGTTAAATCAAATATTTTTATCTTAATCTCGAACTCAACCTAACCTAGCCTTATCCTTAAAAAAATAATCATATTAATCGAATTTGAGTCAAATGTTCATCTTCAATTGTAACTTGAAATTAACCATATCTGAATTCATGAACTTGACATCTTTTCTATTTGTAGTCTTTTGATTACTAAAAATTGTTTAAATATAAATATTCGAGTCATTTTTGCATTGTAGGCACTGACGAAGCCAATACTTATTGAAATTTTTTATAATTATTTTCTCATATAAATAATATAAAAGAAGAAAAATGTCACCCGTTTTAATAAGATTTTAACACTCTTTAAAAAAGAAATTGACCCCATCCTTTAAAAAAATATTTAACAAAAAAATTAACTCAATTTTTCCACTCAAAAGAAAATCTTTACGAAATTTTTAAATTTAACACTACAAAATAAATTTTCTAGTTCCACCACTGATCGTGGGCATGGATTCCTCCGGAGCTAACCACCAAAGTAGCAAGAAAACAAGAGGGACATACAACAAAGAACAAAAGTAGAGCTCTTGTGGATCAAATTAGATGTAGACATTTAGCAAGAATGAAGAACAATGAACATGAAAACAGATCAGTTGGCCATTGGTCCCCAAGGAAAATGAAAACAACAAAGGCACAAAAGAAGCAACATGTCATCACTAGTTATTCATGGGGCATCATGTACGGCACTTCAATATCCGAAAAGACGGTCCAGGCATGGAGTAAATCATACGTTCGAGGGTATGTGGAAAAGGCTTCACACCTGCCAAGACGATCAAATTCAATTAATACAATTTTTTTCGGAACTATACTTGGACTCTGGGTGTGAGTATCGGCAGGTCATGTCCGTGTAGTCATATAACAAATAATATGGGGTTTAACTGAAAAATAAGTTACCAGTTCAGACTAAGTTATGCAGATTTTTTAAGTTCATACCAGCTATGTGTAGTGTCAATGAGACCTCTGTCATATATCAAAATTTTCTTTTTCTAAATCATTAATTTTGACTTTTGAAAGCTCTAAATCGTTTTTCAAAATTTCATTTTGATTCTCAAAATTAACTTTTGATTCTCAAAATTAACTTTTGATTTCAAAACCAAATCATTTTCAACTTTAAATTTTGAAATCAATTTCTTATATTTATAATTCATGGTCTAAAATTCCAAATACAACTCATTATAAGCATCTTGTAACTTATCAAAAGAATGTGAATTTAATTCATTTGAGTTAGAAGATACCATTGAATCTTCTTCGATGGTCATGAGGCATAGGTTGACTACTTCATGGCATAGGTTGGCTACTTCATCTTTTTCTTCGATGATCCTTTCTTTTTTAGGAGGTGACATTCATACTTGACATGACCCGTTCTTTGACAATTGAAGCACACCGGGGAACTCTTCTTCTTGGCTGATTCATGCTTCACTTCCTTGGAAGACATGAATCTCTTGAACTTTTTGAAGAGCTTGGCTATCTCTTCTTCTTCAACATCGTCTTCATCCACCTCTTCATTTGAATCTTGATAACTCTTGTTGGTGGACTTAAAGGCAATGCCTACCTCCTTCTTTTCTTCCTTCTTCTTCTCCTTCTTTTCTTCATCATCTTCCTCTTCCTTCACCATCAACTCATGAGCGATAAGAGAACTAATAAGCTCGTCGAGAGTGAGAGACTTTAGGTCTTTAGTTTCGATAATCGCTGTCTTCTTCGAATGCCAAGACTTTGGAAGAGAGTAGATCATCTTCCTCATAAGCTTCTCATTAGGGATTACTTCTCCAAATCCCTTGAGATCGTTGACAATCACGGAAAATCTATCCGCCATAGCTCTGATGTCTTCATCGGGTTTCATCTTGAAGTTCTCGTAACTATGGTTGAGAAGACTTATCTTGGTTTTCCTCACTTCATCGGTTACTTTATGAGTGACTTGGAGCTTATCCCAAATCTCCTTGGCATTGGAACAAGAGGAGACTCTTCCATATTCATCTGGGTCTAATGCACAAAAGAGGAAGTGTGTAGCCTTAGCATTGAGTTGGAACTTCTTCTTCTCTCCATCACTCCAATCATCCATCTCACCGGGTGGAGTGGAATATCCCTTATTGATTGAGTTCCAAGCTCCTAGATCGTTGACTTGAATGAAGTGCATCATCGTATTCTTCCAATAGGCATAATTTGCTCCATTGAAGTAGGGTGGCTTGTTAACCAATTGTGAATCTTCCATATAATAAGCACCTGAGGTTGAAGTATGTGTGTTCAGCACAGTTCTAATTTTTTTTTTTTAAGTTTTCGTGTATTTAGAGGATCCTTAAACAGCCATATGCTCATATGTCCGAATTCAATTCAACTCCCAAGTACTAACTTTTTAATGTCAATTATACATAGCAGATCCCTCTATTTTCAAACATGAAAATAAAAACAACACTTTTTTATTTATAGATTGAATTTGTTTGTTTGTTTATGATCTTAGCAACTCAACATATTTATTTTCCACACTAGTAAGATATTCAACATTTTTCAAACTTCAAAGCACTTCTTCCATCGCTTACCATATAAGCTTCTACAGTCAGTACTTTGAGCTACTAAGCACAGACCCATGGCAGACTAAGAATTTCTCGATAAAATCCTAATTCTAGATCATTTTTCTCTAATCCAAACAACAATCAGATCAATCGGAACATCTAAAAAAACAGTTGAGAAGTTTAGATCGCGATTAGCTAGATCTAGAAAATAGAGATACGGTTCACCCAACTAAAATCACTAGATCTGAATACTAGATTTCAACCGAGAGATGTTTAAGTAAAGGATCTAATTACTGGAACCATAACAGTACCTGCAGCTCCAGTAAGGAGGACACGAACTGGTTCTTTCGCCATTGATGAAGATCGAAGGATAACAAAAAACCAATGTCGTTTAGCAAGAGCTCAGTAGAGAGGCCGAGATGAATGACTATAAGCTGAGGCGCAAAGGACGAGAAGAATACGCGAAGAATCGACGTTATTTATAAGTACCAAGGAAAATATTGATAAAACCCATTGTCTAATTCTAGTTTTAGTCCCTCCACTATGTTATAATTTAAAACTTATATTTTTAGTTTATCATAATTTAATCATCTATTTTTATAATGTTACGATGTTATTAGTTCTTATTGAAGTGGTCATATAAAATACATTTAAATAAAAGTAATAATTGCATCTGCAAGGTGTCTGTATTGTCAATAACTAAGAAAGATTATAAACAAATACTACATTGTATATGTTCATAATCAACAATGTAGATGTAATTAACAGATGAAGTTGTTCGAACCCAAAATCTCTAGGGAGTATATTACGCTAATGATAACTATTAATGTTATCAATTTGGACTTATAATTAATATTATAAATATAGAAAGATTGCATATGGCAAACTGAAGTACGTGGATTGAAATTAAAATTGTAACATAAAATGTGGATTAAAATTTGAATTAGACCTAAAAAAGAGGGTTTTGAGTTTTGCAAAACTGTGTGCTTAACGTCGTCGTTTGGAGGTGAGAGAGAATAAATGACGTTGAGAATCATGCCACACAGATGGCGTGAGAGAATTGGGAATCATCATGCTTGTTACCGTTGGAGCTAGGGAGGGTCATGATTTGAATCAGATTGAGTCATTTTTTTTGTTATTCGAATTTGGTCCAAGTATAATATCGTTTCATTCGTCATTATACCCCAATTTAGGAACATTTGACAGGAAACTCAATTATATTTTTAAAGTGAAAATTTGTATAGTGAAAATTTGTATTGAATTAGAGTAGACAAAAATATATATAATTCTCATTTTTATAACGTAAAATAAGAATTTAATTGAAAATATATATAGAGAGAGGAGTAATATAAAAATTATCTTTAAATATATAAAGGTTTGTTGAATTATGTTTTGATATAACAATTTATGATAAAATGTTTTTGGACTTGAATTGAATTTATTCAAAGTTTTCAAAAATAATTCAAAGTCCATTTAACTTGAAATTGAGCACAAAATATTTTTCTGGACAAGAAGTACCGATACTGTTCTTACAGTATCGATACCTCATGAACCGTACCGATATTGTTCATACGATACCGATACCTTAGGTTGAGTTCGAAGATTAAGGACCAAATTGGACGTAGACATTTAGCAAGAATGAAGAATAATGAACGTGAAAACAGATCAGTTGGCCATTGGTCCCCAAGGAAAATGAAAACAACAAAGGCACAAAAGAAGCAACTTGTCATCACTAGTCATTCATGGGGCATCATATAGGCCACTTCATGTTGTCCGAAATCTGATATGTTTTTCGACACGGATATGGTTTATGTTCCTAGAAATGATCCTTGTACCTATCTTTGGACATGCATCAAACATGATATTTGACACCGGTATTTCAAGTACAACGAAGAGTCGGAGTAACATAGCATTCGGTAAGTTACCGATTTGCCAAAGAAGCTTTGGACGGCACCAAAGTAGACTAGTTCTTTTTTACTTGTTTGAAGAATAGCCTCTATAGATGGTAATCAATTCATGGTTTCTCATGTAATTCATTACAAGAATAGCATTTGAACCATTGGTTAATGCTACAAAATGAGATTGTTTACTGGACTAGTAATGGGAGAGCTTCTTAATACCTCGAAGCTGCAGAAGAAGGTGATGCTAAAATATTCTACTCAGAATCCCGGACGCTTTCACTTGTGAGCCACAATTTCTTTTGGACAATAAACACGACTTCATCCCCTTCATGTTCTGAATCCGAACCAGAACCAGCCGTTGCTACTGCCTCCCAGTGCAAAGCCGATAAATACTTCCTTATGAAATCTATCACTGGTCGTTTGTCCCGAACGATTATGAAACCGTTGGGCCGGAGAATACGATCCATCTCGAGTAACAAATCCTCAGCACTGCAGCCTTTCTTCTCAATATCCGAAAAGACGGTCCAGGCATGGAGTAAATCATACGTTCGAGGGTATGTGGAAAAGGCTTCACACCTGCCAAGATGATCAAATTCAATTAATACAATTTTTTTCGGAACCATACTTGGACTCTGGGTGTGAGTATCGGCAGGTCATATCCGTGTAGTCATATAACAAATAATATGGGGTTTAACTGAAAAGTAAGTCACCAGTTCAGACTAGGTTATGCTGATTTTGTAAGTTAATTTATGCATACCAGCTATGTGTAGTGCCAATGAGACCTCTGTCATATATCAACTTAAGTGTGTTCGGTCCATCCTCCGGGATGACATTCATCACCCAAACATTCTTGTCTTTTAGAGCAGCCGCAAAAGATCCCAGGTTTGCTTTCATGTCCATCACATTTCTCAAAGTGTCGGCTTCAATCTTAGGACTCAAGAGATTCCAATAACTCTCTACCTGTCGGCGCCAAGTTTCCTATGGATTTGAAAAAGCTATATTACCGTTCATACCGTTTGTCATGGCAGCATAAATTAAGATATAAGCACAAAGAAGTAATCACAAATAAAGGCGTAGATGAAACAATGATGCTGCCTTCATTACCGTGTCTTTTTCGAACATTTCGTTCGAATAACCAAAATCAGCAAGCCTTGGAGGAGGAGATGTCAATCTGGCCGGCCAAGAAGCCAAACCGCTTCCCTTGGCTTTCTGGTCATCTGATAGAAACAAAGAGAAGTTTTTAGTTGTGATAAATTTTAAAGCTCAGTAATCATGTGTGATCGAGAAACAATTGTATCCTATAAAACTCGCAAAAATCCGAAAAGAAGAAATGAGCAGAATAATTGCACTCGATACAACAATTAAAGATGGATGCAGAAGGCAACTAACTCTGGGGTTACTAAGCGATCTCTTTTTACACCTACACTTCTTCCATTTTTTTTTTATTTCTCTCTCTTTAACCCAAAGCGAAAAGCAAATCAAGCTTACTGTTAAGAATTCAACTACACAAAGAATACATCTTCATCAGGCATTTGATATGAAGCCGAAACATAAACCATCTTTATTACTTGGACTTGGGTGTAAGTTTTGGATATGGATATCTTTCCGATAAGGATGTGTTCAAGATTTTCAAGCTTTTTCCATGTATTTAGACTTTAGAGGAATGCTGGAAGGTCATATTTCCAAACCAGTGTCTGAAAATGTGTCGGACACAGGTGTCAAACTAGGGTACTTCTAGCGAAATGAAATGTCAGAGAAACATAGCAAGCGATTTCATGTTCAGTTAGTATAGGAAAGCAACACGATCAGTGGAAGAATGAGATATAAAATCCATCAGTCAACCAATAAATGACTTCAGAAATAAAATCTAATGATACAAATGTGAAATTGTTTATCTAAATATCAGCATACTCTCAATAATAAAAAATGGATAAAAATATCAATTAAAAAAGGGAGAAAAGACAATAATATTAGTAACACTGAGAGATATACTTACGATCAGAATAAGGAGTGATACAAGCTTCCATTGGAACACCCCAAACTGAATCTGGATCATCATCAGACCGGCAGAGGGGTGGATTACCAGGTTCTCGTTCCATATAACAATCATTTGTTAAAGGCTTTTGCCAAATGACAGTTTGGTTCCTTTTTGCAGCTATTCTCCAACACATACGTCCCACAAGGGTGCTCATCTCCCTCCATATCCGGAGATCCTCTTCGTCTTGTGCATAAGCTTCTGGAGACGAGTAGGCAAAATAGCCTCCGGGTCTAAGTAACCGGTCTAGCTCAAGAAGAAGAATCCCATCCCTTTGAAGCCAATCAATCCTACAGCGAGAACAGTGAGCAAGTTCGAATGATCTGCTTGGGTAAGGGAGCCTTTTGGTCCCTAGAACACCAAGATATGCAGGAATTCCTCTTTCCAGGGCAAATTGGATTTGATTTTGATGCACATCATTGGGGGCTAACGACATTGTTATGATATCAGAAGAAAGAAGATATGCTCCAAAACTTGCAACGCCACAACCGACATCAAGAACTGTACGAATCCTCCCTCCATTATTTAAATTGTTGTGCGAAAAGTTGAGCATCTGCCAAATCAAAATCATAGAAATCAGCCATTTCTTCTTCCCTAAGTTTGCAAAGTTCAAATAAGAATCATTACATATGAAGCCGATCAGTAAAAGATGGAACCAAAACATGATGCAGAAAACTCAAGCAGACACAATTATTTTCAATTGGAAAAAAAAACAGTATGCATCTGTGATCTTACATTTGCAATCAAAGCAATATACTTGTCAGCTCCATAGTGAAAATGGGTGCCTCCTCCTGGAAATACTATCTTTTCACCTTGAACAATCATCCAATTCTGGTCAGACTTTTCATGTGCAAGGTGAGTATGAGGAATATTTGCCTTCCACACTTCATCTCTGCTTTGAGGCCACTTAATTGGGATCTGTAATTTCACATGAATTAAAACACTTTCAGAATATGATAAATATCACAATAACCATCTCTATACATGAAAAATTCACTATATACACTTCATCAGCACCTTGTATCCCGCAGGAGGAGGAATCAAGCAATTGTATCTCCTTTCAGGAGGGGGGCAGTGGCGTTCGTAGTGCTCCATCACCGATAGATCAAGCTTTAATCTCATTTGGTATATGATATTTCTGTCTAAGCAAGGAATGAGTTCCGAATGTCGATCATCGCAAACCTTCAAAAGTCACAAGCAGATAAGTTAAATGCCACAGCAACTAGTCAAATATGGAATGATTCAGCAATAAACAACTTACCAGGAAAGTTTTTGGTGTGACATCTTCTCCATCCTCCAGTCCAAATTTTGTTGAAGATTCATATTGCTTGCCATCAGCTTCATCATCCCCACCCAAATAAGACGATCCAAACTTTCTCAGAGATTTGCTACCATACTCTAGAGCTGAAGCACCATTGCTTGAAGACCCAAAAATAGATCCATAATATACATAGAGGAAACCAAGAAAGATGGCCACAACACAGACCAAGGTGATTAATCTCTTCTTTTGGCCTCCATTGGATCTTCCCCTCATCCTTATTTAGTACTACGATCCTTCTTCACAAACCGTTTCACACAAATCTCCTTATCCTAGTCAATCTCACGTCAAATTTCCTACTAAAAATAAATCAGTTTTGTTGCTACCATCAGAAGGCGGTATTCAATCGAATTAATAACACAAAACACTACAAAACTTATTAAAGAGAAACACTGGAAAACTGATCAAACCTGCAAGAAACGATCAGGTGATTAGTGCTCTTGAATAAACCAACAAAGTTCAAAACCAAGCTAGAAGCTTGTGCAACAATTCAGATTCACGTTAACAGTCCACTTAAAGGAAATAAAAGCATGTAACCAATGCTCTCTTTTTACTCTGAATTGAAACAATGGGAATCATGAAAATGACGGCTAGGCAGTAAACTTTAATGAACTAAACAGATCTAAGTAAAAAAATCACAACCAAATCCAACCATCAAGAATCAAAGATGGATTCCAAAGGAATTAGTATCGCTAACATTCTTAAAGTAAAGATAGGAAACTGGAATTGACCCATTAGAGCTACCACAAACGCAAGCAAAACCCATCAATCAGATTCCCTAGAAGGGAAGAAATACGATTTTAACGAAAACCCAGAAATGTATTCACACCCAAAAAAAAACTTCAACCGAAAAAAATAAAAATAAATGCTTACTGGGTTTCAATGAGAAACTGTACTGGGCAAAGTTCAATTGAGAAATAAGAAAAGAGAGCTGTGGGCTATCTCCAGAATGAAGAACCACAAGCAAAGCAAAAAAAGTGAGAGGGATTATTAGATCGCAAAGAATCTGCTTCTTTTTAATCTGCAGTGTGGGTGAAAGAGAGAGAGAGGGAATGCGAGACAGTGCTGAGGTTCACACGGTTTTTCTGTAGGAATCTGTGTTTACATCTATCTGTCCTAGAGTGGATCTGTACATGACTAGAATTTGACACTGAATTTTTTTTTCTTTATTCCAATTCTTTTAAACGATTAGGGTTAATTACACAAATGATTTCTTAAATATATAATATTATTTTATTGAGTATTTTGATTATTAAAAATTATAAAATATTGTTCGGTTATATAAAATTGATTTGTTGAATCCATTGACTTTGAAAAGATATAAAATAATCATCTAACTATTTATATGCATCAAATTCATCCTTCTTCATTAAAAAGTTATCGGTCATCAAAACTGAACATTAACTTATTAATTGAGATGTGATAAAATATGATCATAAAACCGTTTGAGATGTATTTCTTGAAACAACTCTCCATTTACATTATGCCATAAAATCAGTGCTTGAAACATTATATAGTCAAACTAGTACATGAAATCAACAACGGCACTAATAGACATTATTAAAATATAATTTTTATCATATCCTAATCAGCTTGTTAATGTCCAACTCAAATTACATCATTTTTAACAAAAAAATAACGATTTTAGAATATATGAATAGTCGAGTGCTCAATTTGTTGCTTTTAATAGTTTGAGGACTCAATAAATAGCATCCTATAACTAAGGACCATTTTATAACTTTTAATAATCAGATGACTTAATAAAATAGAACCCTATAATTGAATGACCATTTATATACTTTACCCAACAATTTAATAAAAGTACTAAATTAAAATTGATAATTTATCTTTTATTTTAATAAAAATAAAAAATCTATTCAATATATATTATTCGAAAATAAATACATAATATAGTTAAGTTGTTTGATAATATAATAAACAAATTCAAAAGATGATAAAGATAATTATGAAATATAAGATTATTGGCTTAAATTTTAAATCAATCAAGCCAAATATTTTTAAAATTATTTAATTAATAACACTATTATTGATTAATTTAATTTAGTTCATATTATTAATATAATATCTAATAAAATTAAAATCAAATATATATATATATATAAAAAAAAATTTAATATCTATTGATTTATAAATGAAAATTTAAAATAATACAAATATTATATCAATTTGTTGAAAAATAATTATAGCATGTCCTACCTTAGGTCACGGTCCCATCATCAAAAGTAGTATATCTTTGGTCCCACCAAACATAATTCAATCAGGTCGTTGACAAAATAAGCAAGTTGCATCAATTTATTATTATTGTTATTATTTTGTATGACAAATAATTATATATTTGTGTTAGGATATGAACTTTTAAAAATTATATTAAAATTTTAAAAATATAAAAAATACGTTATTATTGTTATAATTTATTTTTTCTAATATTTGTATAAGTGTCTAATTTTTTGTCAATAATTTTAAAGGACCAGTTCTTCAATATTTGTTATCAGTATCCAAAATTTTTAATATTTATTATTAGGACATGTTTTAAAATTCAAATTTGTTCTAATATTTATTTATTGTTATGAGTTTAATTTTTTCTGTATTTTTTATTAGAGATCTAATTTTTTTAATGTTTATTATTATGAGCGTACTCTTAAAATTTACTTTTTTAATATTTGTTATTAGAGACTCGTTTTTTTAATACTTGTTATTATGGATCTACCTTAAATTTTTTCAACACTTGTTATTATGAACAATTACTTAAATAACGATTTGTAACCGTAACAATGATTGTTATACAATGGTAACGACGTCGTCCAAAAATGTAATATTCATAACCGTTATATCCACAATAGTATATGTTATTAAAAATCCACAACCATGATACTTGCAGTGATTGACATAACATCTGTTATGTTCGTAATAGCAATAAACGCAACGAGACCGAAGACATAATTGTAAATTGTAATTTAAATCTTTAATTAGGGGTCTAATTTTTTAGTTCGTCGAGATCACCAAAATCTCAAAAACGGAAGTCAGAATTCCAAGGCTGTTACAAAATTTAGGGTATTGATTTTGATTTTCTTTTGGGACTTTCAAACCCAAGAGTTTAAAAGAGTTTTCTAACAATTTGAAATTCAAAGTTAATATCATGCATTAACTAATAATAATTAAGCCTACTAAATAAAGAGATAATAAATTAAAGTATATTAAGAGTTTTAGGGGTGTAAGTGAACTAAATATTCGATAAAATATTCATGAATCATTCATTTATTAAGTTAAATAAATTAGTATAAATCAAATTTATATATTCGTTTAATAAACGAACAAACAAGCTCATTCATGTAGAGAGAATGTTGTTAATGATTTCTCTGCGTATGTTCGGTCATCACTAGTCCTTAAGCTTATTATACCTACAGTTTAAATTTTAAAATTTATTTTGTTTTCAATTTAGTCCCTACATCCACTAATATCTAAAATGTCAAAAAATAAAAGGAAAATGAGAAGCGAGTAAACAACCTTAGAATCAAGTTGATAAATGAATTTATTTGTGGATATAAACGAAACGAACATAAAGAGAGAATATTATATAAACAATCGGAGCTTGTTTTTTTAATCGATGAAGGAAAAATAAGAAGGAAGAAAATGAGAAAAAATTTGAGGTTTATAAGGATTCAAAATGACATTATTACGAGTTTCATTTTTAAAACGATGTCATTCTTTTGATGTATATTAAGTCATAATATATAACATCGTTAACTATTTAAAAGTAAAGTGATAAAAATTTCAACGACTAAAGTTTAATGATTAAATTAAAAAATAAATTTTAATAACAAAAAAAAAGAATGAGAGTATAATTGAGTGGTGAAATTTTATAGTTTACTCTAGATTAATATATATATATATATATATATAAAACAAATATGCTGCAATAAATCGTATGGACACGTGTCAATAACGCGGCTGTGTATAAGGCGGACTTCAAGGCTTTGCATTTATTTATTTATTTGTAATGGAGAAGTTAGTATTATTTGTCCAATTAATTAATATTAACAGTTCTCTAATCCAATTATTTTCAAGTGGTTAATGTCTCAACTACGACAGTATTATAGAAAATGTTAATATTTTTTTAATATTTTTAGTAAAATGTTACTTTAAATATTATTATTTTTACCGAAAATATTATTATTGGGTGTTACTTAAAATGTTTAATATTTCTGGTAAAGTGTTACATAAAATATTATTTTTTCTACCAGGAATGTTAATGTTGGGTTCTACCGGAAATTAGTTAGCGAAATTGACATTTTCGGTAAAAAATAATATTTTAGGTAGTGTTTTACTGGAAATGTTAAAAAAATATTAATATTTCCTGTAGGATATTTTTTTAGCCTTATATTAAAGATGTCGTACAGTAGAACTACCGGTACACCTCGTACTCCTATAATTTATCATTATTTTTCTTATTATTAATTGAATTGTATATTATACATTTTTTTTCACTTAACTAAATATTTTCTTTAAAATTCAAAATCTTAAATTTCACTGAAAACATATGTATGATAGGGTGTCAAATGGAATACTGAAGCCAAAATAAATGAATAATTCCAACAAATAAAGTTAAAATAAAACATTAACTCTACTAAAACAATAGATGTGATAATAAAGTAAAAAAGAAGAAGGGTAAATTATATCATAGGTAACTAAATTTCATTAAAATGACAATTTTGGTTATTGAACTTCTGAAAACTATTGAAGTTTTCAAATAGATACAAAGTGATCACCATGATATTACAAATTCAATCATTTAAGGACCCTTTTATAATAATTTGATAAAATTTAATAACCATTTTGTAATATTTTGATAAATTTAATGACCCCTTTATAAAATTATAATGATCATTTTTGTAACAATTCGATAAATTAATAATCATTTTCTAACTTTTGAATGTTTAATTACCTAGATGATCATTTTAACAAAGTTCAATAACCTATGATGTTTTTCACCCAAAAAGAATATAGCTTTTTTTTATTATTAATCTAGTGTATTACAATGGACACGAATCAATCGAATTTGGTGGTAAAAGAATTGTTATAATTCGTTGATGTCCCGAGTTCGAACACCAGAAATATCAGGAGTACGAGTGTTCAATGTCATATATACCAAATTAAACCTTGATATCAAGTTTAGGTACCTAATTAGACCAAAATGTTTAGACACCAAACTTCACCAACAAACTAAATTCGAGTACCAAATTGTATATTTACTCTAATTATTTAAACAAAATTTAATTTTCAGACGAAAACTTCAAATATAAAAAAATAAGAATAAAAAAGCAGGTGAAAAGCAAAGGAAAAGTCAAAGGAGCAAAGCCTCCAACTTTTCAAAAGCCATAAAATCCTAACCAATGAGACTTTCAATTTCGTCATCTTCAATTTAATCTTCTCTTCTCTTCTCTCGATTCCCTCTTTACTAGGGTTCTCTTCTACCTTTTCTTTTGGGTACAATCACTACGCTGTCGTTTTATCACTTCTCTCGTTTTGCTACAGAGATCAAATCTCTTCTCAATTTCATCCGGTTTAAGCAGCTTTGGTAAGTTAGTTTAATTATAGATTTGGTTTTGGAAAGTTAGTTAGATTTTCCTTAAAGAGATTTAAATTTTAAGTGACTGCATGGTATTATTTCGTCTTTTGATTGCTAGTTCTAAGATTCGTCTTGAGTGTTCTGTTTGGCTGGTGAGGAAATTAGCAGAATGCTGGATTTTTATTTTTATTTTAATTGTTAAGCATTATTAGCTCGTTCTTCCGGAACATCTGGCCTTGAATTGCTTTGGATTTATTGATTGACTTGAATTGCTTGCAATCAGGCGTTATATTGGCAAGGATCACCTCATCATTTTGTTTGTTTTTCTGTACTCATGATAAAGTGTCGGGATATTAATACTATTTTGTTTTGTTCTATGCATGTTTTAGATTGGTCACCGCAATCCAGTGGAACACAGTTTTTTTTTAATTGCCACATTCTTTGTTGGGAACTGGGTTTTGAGTTCGGGTCTGCTTTGTTCTTTGGTTGTGCTGAAAAATATGGGGAACCCCATGTTGGTTGATAAGAATTACGCAAAAGTGCATCTATTTGTGTATGCCGGTCATTTTGAAATCAATTGATCTAACACAGTAACTGAATGTTTGGTGAGAAATTACTGGCATCCGGCGGATGTGAAGTTTCCAATAATTAGAATTTTCTTCCCGTTTATCTGGTTTTTGTTTGTTTATCTGTTCGTATCCACTGACAACTGAGAACAACTTAAAATTCTGTCTCAAATGTTGATTGATTTCCCTTTTTGTGTGTATTTGTGTTTGAAGTTAGTCCTTATTCTCAGTTAATGTATTCTCATTTCACTTTTGCTCTTTGCAGAATCCGTTTGTTGAATATTTGGGTAAACAACAATTTGCTAAAGTCTGTCAGATTTCTGTTAGTGAGAATGAGATAGTCGGAACCAGATTATTCCTGCATAACGGTAATGTATGTTTAAGAGAGTGTGGGGGTTTAGAAGAGTTGTATTTATTGAGCAAACCAATGGAAGCTACAAGGTCTTGGTTCAACAAACTGAAATCAAAAGATAAGATAAGGTCTTCAAAGAATAAAGAAGGTGCAGCCAATGCAAAGGAGGGGTCTAAACCACCAACAAGTGAAGAGGCACCATCGAATGTCACCAAACAGCGGGTAGCAGCTGCAAAGCAGTATATTGAAGACCATTATAAGAAGCAGATGAAAGGCCTGCAGGAAAGAAAGGAGCGGTATGATTTAAGTTCTTCCTTGAATACTTCTAAATGTATTAGTTACTTTTATGCTCGCATAACTATAATATAGTATATGCGGGAAAAAAACTTAGTGCTGTCATTTTATTCCATATTAACATGATAAAGTGTATTTGTGATCGAAGGAATACTGTGAAAGTTATGGTAATTTTATTTAGAATAATGGGGATAATGGTTTTGGTTAATTATGGTTTTCTGCAGACGTGATATTCTAGAAAGGAAGTTGGCTGATGCTGAAGTCTCTGAAGAAGAACAAAACAACTTACTGAAGTATTTGGAGAAGAAAGAGACCGAATACATGCGTATTCAGAGACATAAGATGGGGGCTGATGATTTCGAGCCATTGACCATGATTGGCAAGGGTGCATTTGGAGAGGTAATTATATCTTTTTCATTTTGTACATCATATCATAGGTGCTTATTTTTCTTATATTTCTGATTTTGCTTTAATCTACTTGCTGATATTACGAAAAATTGATGAGCTATGACTACCACTAGATCATTATGCTAAAATCTTACATTTTGAATTTCTTTTTTTCATCAAAACCTTTTTCCCCGAGACAATGCATCTAGGGAACTTCTAGAAGGCCTTTTGCTTATTACTGCTTTAGTTGCATGATTTCTTTGTTACTAATGCTTCCGTACATATTGATCATACTTTTACCTCTCTTCTATGATCCACCTTTTTCTCTTAGCTTATCTTAAATTCTTGAAAAGTTTGTTTTGTTTCGCCAGAATTACTTTTAACACAACTTTTTCTCATTATAGGTTAGAATCTGTAGGGAGAAGGCAACTGGTCATGTTTATGCTATGAAGAAGCTGAAGAAGTCAGAGATGCTTCGTAGAGGCCAGGTGCACTATTTTGAATCAGCTATGTAGTTACCTTAATTTGTTCTGTGCCATGATGCTAACTTGTTAGCTCGCACTTTTGATGTTCAGGTTGAACATGTGAAGGCTGAGAGAAATCTACTTGCTGAGGTTGACAGTAATTGCATTGTCAAACTATATTGCTCCTTCCAAGATGAAGAATACCTATATCTCATTATGGAATATTTGCCCGGGGGAGATATGATGACTTTACTAATGCGGAAGGATATACTAACTGAAGATGAGGCCAGGTTTTATGTTGGAGAAACTGTCTTGGCGATTGAATCAATCCACAAACATAATTATATTCATAGGTGAGTTGGCATGAGATTAAACCTTCGCACACATTTATATAATAGTCTTCTTGAGTTTGGACTAAGTGGCGAACCCATCTCACATGTTGCAGAGATATCAAGCCTGACAACCTACTACTCGATAGAAATGGTCATATGAAATTATCAGATTTTGGATTATGTAAACCATTAGATTGCAGTAATCTTCAGGAAAAGGATTTTACTATGGCAAAGAATCTCAGCGGGGCTCTTCAAAGTGATGGACGACCTGCAGCACCGAAACGCACCCAACAAGAGCAGTTGCAGCACTGGCAGAGGAACAGAAGGATGCTTGTAAGTACATGACTACCATAACTAATACAACATTAGGTTTAGTTATTTTACTGCTGGTAATATTGGGTTTACAAAGTAATTAAGTTACTGATTTTATTTCTCTTATTTTCCATAGTTCACGCTTTGTTTGATTTTGTCGGAGTTCTCAAGTCTTAGATTTTACTGCTACTACTTTCCTTAGATATTTGAGAAAACTCAAAATCCTCACCTCTCTATCCTGCCTAATTCATAAATGGAAAGATTTTTTCTGCTTCCGTTGAAATTGCAAACGACTGTTGCTTGAACATTTTAATGTTGTGATACTTCAGGCTTATTCTACAGTTGGTACACCCGACTATATTGCACCAGAGGTTTTGCTGAAGAAAGGATACGGAATGGAATGTGATTGGTTTGTATATTGAACATGATATTTTATTTGTGTTTATTTTTGTCAGATTTGGTTATAATGGTATTTTTTTGGATATTTTCATAGGTGGTCTCTTGGTGCTATCATGTATGAAATGCTTGTTGGATATCCACCCTTTTATTCAGATGAGCCAATGTCAACCTGTCGGAAGGTATGCTTTTACCATGAAGTTATTGTATTGTCATTGTTTTATGTTATTATAATTTTGTCCATCTTTACGTCCAAGCATTTATTTTTATTTATATTTGGTGATTAACTTCCATTTAACAACTCTATCGCACTTCTTACCTTCTTTCAACCTTTCCCAGATAGTAAATTGGAGAACACATTTAAAGTTTCCAGAAGAAGCAAAACTATCACCCGAAGCGAAAAATCTTATCAGTAAACTCTTATGTAATGTTGAGCAGAGGCTTGGCACAAAAGGCGCCCATGAAATTAAGGTGTTGTGTGGTGTGTCCTGTTCTGGATTCTTTGACGTTTTAAAAATAGAATGCAAATTACTAAATTAACTGGCTTTATCTGTCTTTTTCCCAGAGTCACCCATGGTTTAAAGGTATTGAATGGGATAAGTTGTATCAAATGAAAGCTGCATTTATTCCTGAAGTCAATGATGAGTTGGACACACAAAATTTTGAGAAGTTTGAAGAGGTAGATTAGTATTACGATGATTATAAATATGCAGAATGGCCTGTTTAGACATTTTCTTATTGCTTTCCTTTCTTTGATGCACCAGGCTGACAACCAAGTTCCATCTGCAGCAAAATCTGGTCCTTGGAGAAAGGTTAGGACAATTTCATGTATTTTCAATTGACTGTTTATTAACCAAGTTTGCTAGAAATTTTCTTTACTGAAGTTTTCGAAATTAAATGGCACCAGCACCATTATTTTGGGGTGTCAAATGAATTCTTTGAAAATTTTCTTTTTTCCTTGAATACCAGAACCATTTTCTTGTGGAAATATATACTTTGCATTTTCCGGTCCATTAGCTTTAATATATGTGTTATACTTCATTATGTTTCTTAAATTATTAAATCAACTTTCTAAAGAAAGCGGATATATGTAGCCTATTGTTTTTAATATACGTAACCTTTTCTGGTCTATTTATTTATTTTTCCCTTTGATGCAGATGCTTTCATCCAAAGATGTAAACTTTGTGGGTTACACATACAAGAACTTCGAAATTGTAAATGATAATCAGTTACACGGCATCGGTATTTTTCTTCCTCGATTTAGTGTTTACGTTTGCTTCTTCTGCTTTCCATACACGAAATCTATCTAACTACTCAAATACTGTATGCATCCTTTTGATGATCATTGAGAAAACAAGATGATCACTGCTACATGTTTTTCTAAATGGATCTCTCCTCCTCCCCCGTCTAGTTATTTTGAATGTGGGCTCATCCCCTGCAGATTTCCAACCTGGCAAGTATATTTGTATTTGACTGTTTTTCACTTGTTCCATCGTGCAGCTGAATTAAAGAAGAAGAGCTCGAAACCCAAGCGACCCTCCATCAAATCCCTTTTTGGTAAGATCTTATCACACTATTATATGTTTTTGGTCGGTGCACTTGATTGTTGTTCGGCAGCTTTGCTGCAAAAAGTAGGTTGTTAATTTCAGCACCTTGCCAGCACTAAATGTTTGTCGATCAAACTACGGTTCGGTCATCTTAATCATGCCTATGTTTTGCAGAGGGCGAGTCAGCCGAAGCTGCCAGTCAGCCTGTTCAAGGGAGCTTCATAAACCTCTTGCCTACGCAAAAAGAAGTCCCCGAGAGCCGTCTGAGAAAGTGAAGGCTTCAATATCCTCGTGATGTCAGGAAGTTCTCCGGTGAACCGCATCTGCTTTTTCGGCACATCTTTTATTTTTCAGTGAAAAAGGCCCCACAAAAACAAAAAGTGGTTTGAGACGTGGGATTTGGCTCCTCCTTGAGCCAGTTAGGAGATTGTTTTCTTTTTTGGTAAAATGACATCTGAAAGTAAATATTCTTTAATATTTGTTGTGTATTTGCCCTCCCCACATTATGTCAATTTTCAAGGCAAGCAGAAAGAATTTCATGTACAATATCTCGCTGTTTTTCATTTTGCATGCAACTTCTTCTCAGGTATATAAGTGTGCTTTAACCATGTTTTAGACCTGTGTGCCTCATGTCTTCGCAATCATAGTTCAAACATTTTTATATTTGGGTAAATTACACTTTTAGTACTTAAACTATTGATTTTGATCTATTTTAATACTTAAACTTTTAATTTTTTTCAAAACTATACATAAAATTTAGTTTTTTTTTCTTCATTTTAGTATATCACCGTTAAAAACTTTAATTTTTGTTTCATTTCAGTAATTCGTTCAAACTTTAACGTTAAGTTTTAAAAAAAATTGAAAATTAAAGTATTAAATTGGACCAAAACTGATAATTTTGGCACTAAATGGATAGTTTTTAATAACCCAGTTACTAAAATGAAATGAAAATTAAACGTTAGATATAATATTGAAAAAATTTTGAAATTTAAGTATTAAAATGGACTAAAATTGATAGTTTAAGTAATGTGTAGTTTACCCCTTACATTTATTAGGCAATTCTATCATGGGTGGATATCGGACACGAATGCTTTAAGAAAAATGAAGAGTTCAAATAACCGCCCGAACAAGGAGGCATCAAACTGTTAATGCTCTACACACTCCGCTTTACTTTTGAATCATATCAGCATCCATTTTTCTTACAGTTGCTACAAACTTAAGCTTGGTCGAAGGTCCGTCATTCAAACAAAGAGAGTCGTACTTTCGAGGGACAAAACCTTGAAAGGATCGGTAGATATTCAAAGAGAATAATGACTTCAAAGTAAGCAAAGATATAGAGAAAGCAGATGACACATAATGCTAGAAAAGTCTTTGTTATAGTATACTTCTTAGGCATTCTTCTTGTTTGCTTCTGATGAAATAAAAGAAACATCATGTGTTTTTATTACAACTAGAATTAATAGTTGAAACTTGGAAATCTATGAACAATTTTCATGAGGTGATGACAATGATATCATCTCTCTCTTTCTTTAATGACACTCTAGAGGCATGATAATGGCAAGAATACCTGACAACGGGTGCTTGAGGAAGGAGTTCCATGAGTTTTTAACCGAGCTGAAACTTCTTTGGGGGAGATCGTTGAAGTTGAGGACGGAAACAAATCAAGGACGCAGATATACAGAGAAAACTGTTTGAAAATACAGTTATAGTACCGAGATCTCCTTCATAACTTGCAAATCCTTGGTACTATCAGATGTGCAAGCCGTTTATTTCCTTCTCCCGCTTCCAATTGTCAAGAAGTCAAAGCTCCGGAGGGCATCAATGCGACGACCTTTCGTGGCTGCAGCACGAGTGAAAGATGATGATTTGGATTCGAATCCAGGTTGGACTTTCTGAGTGGTTGACAGGCGACTGCTGCTCGGAACCAATCTGCTAGACCGGCTTTCACTAGGATCCCCAGAGGAGCCAGGTCGGCTGATAGAAACAGCAGGCCTCTTTGAAGTACTAACATTTCTCGAGGAAGACTGAGCCCTATCAGAATCAGGTTGCTGAAGGGGAGAAAAAGTTCAAGAGAAAATCATAAGAAAACTAGCAAACTAGCACTCATCGAAAAACAATAGATGAAATCCATTAAAAATTGCAGCAGCGGAGTCGCTAACCACGTCCTTGGATGATGGCACATCATCAGAAGATATGTATTGAGACTGATCACCATGTCCAGATCCATTCCGTCTCGCAAATGCCTCAACAGCACCAGAGAACCTTTCACGAACCTCTTGGCCAACTAGAGCAAATAAAGAAATGTGCTAAAACCATAAGTTGGCTAACTTAAGTAAACCAAGGTCAGTCAATGGTCAAGTTTAGGTGACTTAACTACAATAGTTAAATTTTCATATATTCTCAAACCAAGTTCTGAAAAGAGAACACACCTGAAGGCTTTTCGGTTCTTTCAGCAGATACCCCTGGGGGATTTAAACCGGGTTTTGGGCTTGGCTGTTCAAGAATAAAACGGAACAGAGTATAAGCATCTTTAATGAAGAAACAAAATTAAAATTTCCATGAAAATCAAGTCCAAGTTTAAGATCACTGACCCGTGCTCTTGAGCTAGAGCCAACCTGCGGATATCTCAGCATAGTCCAATCAAATACGTAGTCAAACTGATAGCCTGGCATCGGATTGTTGTAAAAATAAATACTTTTGAGAGTTCAAAAAGTCGATTTCATAATAAAAGTTCTATAGCAAATTTATGATGAACTAGTTGTAAGACTGATTCAATATTCAAAATTAAACAATTTCAAAAAGGTAAGCAAAATTTGAATGTGAGAATTAAAATAGCCAATCAACCCTCTCGAATGAAAAGGTCCCGGAACAGCCTCTTCAGGTACGAATAATCCGGTTTGTCTTCAAAACGTAGTGATCGACAGTAATGGAAGTATGATGTGAACTCAGAAGGATATGATTTGCAAAGGACCTAAAAATGCCATATTACTTGTCAGACATACAATTAATCTTTTGAGTTCTTGAACATGAAGAGAACTAACAGGATATTTTTTTTAATAGTTTAACTATTTTTTTGTAAAAATAAAAAGGATTTCACGGGTATCAATATAAGTAATGCTACCTCTATGGGGGTAAGCATCTTCTTTTCGCTAATCCTGTCATACTTCTGCTTTTTGGTGCCAGCTTTCAAGCCCTGCCATGGAAGGCTGAGACGGATAACAAGAAAATAAGTTAACAGTGTAACCCAAACATTTAAAAGGTTAGTGAAATACGCAACCAGATATGTGTTCAACCAACCTTCCCCTAAGGAAGTACATAAGCACATAACCGAGAGATTCGAGATCATCTCTCCTGCTTTGCTCTGTAAGTTAAGTAAACCACATTGGATCATACCATAAAGCCAAAATAATCCAAAGTGACAAGTGTTCGCAGTAACTAAAACCCATATCAATATAAAATGCAGTAAGTTCACTCACCAACTCCAAGGTGAGTGTTAACACTTGCATATCGAGCTGTTCCTGTAAGGTTCTTGTTTTCCCTATTATAAAAAAATGGATAACTTAAATGAGAGTCCATAGGCAGTAAAAGTGTTTATATAAAGAAGGGAAAATAGTGCAAGATGAGGTCGGTGTGGCACATATTAAATGACTTTACAAGAGAAACATACATGCAACATACGAGCTATACTAATTGGAAGAATTGACAATTGATACTACAGCTAAAAGAAGAATTAAGTATCAAGAATTTGTTAAAGTAGTAAATTACAAGACCAAATTGTTTTTGAGGCACTCTATGTCTAGCATCGAAAATGGATGTCTAAGGTACGCTGATGAGCTACAAACATAACCAATGTAAATTTTAACCATCTTCCATGCTAACTAGCCTTTCCATGGGAATTTGTGGTCTTTAAATCTATTACCAAAAGAATTAAGTAGAGATTAGAGTTCTTTATGATGGGTCAATTGATGATCAATCTACAAGAGGAAACATCAAATGTCACACATAAATACATCAAAAGTATTATTACCTGTATGGTATGTGCGTATGTGTTTGAAGATCCCTATACTTTTTTGCAAGACCATAGTCAATTATATACACCTGCAGAGAAAATGTGGAAAACAACATTCTTAAGCAACACTTACTAGGACATCTTGTTGAACAAGTGAGATACAGTTATTTCAAACTATAATTTCAGTTAAGGTAAAGCGATATTTCAAATGGTACATAAAATTGTGTAAAAATCTCATCAACATGATCTCATGCCTCATCGTCCATAAACAAATCCATGAATATGGGGGGAATAAACAGAAGAACATGCCTGATTTGCTTTGCGCCCTAAACCCATCAAAAAGTTATCAGGCTTTATGTCACGGTGAAGAAAACCACGAGAGTGCATATGCTCAACTCTATTTAACTGAATTACCAACAATGAAAAAACAAGTATTAGTAAGGTAGCCAACTAACAAAACTAAAGTTCCCTGATAACAGGCAGAACACTCACTAGTTGATCTGCAAGCATCAAAACCGTTTTTAAAGAAAGCTTCCGATTGCAATAGTTGAATAGATCTTCCAGACTTGGCCCAAGAAGATCAATAACCATGACATTGTATTCACCCTCAACTCCAAACCATTTTAAATGAGGAATACCAGCTGCACATGAACAAAAAGTGAGGAAAAAAATACTTACAGACTCCGAGTTACCATAAAGTATAGATAAACACATTAGAGACAGAGAGAGAACTAGTGAAACAAAACTGAAGACTCACTCCCTCCTTGAAGAAGCATGTACAGCTTTGACTCATAGTGAAGTTGAGGATGCTTGGTCTTGACAGGTTCCTGCACAAACAAGGAGAGCAATACATTATATATTGATAAACAATTCAAAACTTCAAGCAACAACAAAACAATATCATGAAGCTAAATTAGATTATTGAATGGAATAATAGAAGCATAACTACAATCTAATGACATAATTTCTAGAGTGATTTTTTTTTGATAAAGAGGCCTCATTAAAAATCTAGAGTGATTTTGTAAGCACCTAAGCAGATAACCTAAAGCTATAAGCTTAAATAATTGACGAATCCATCCCTATATCAGCAAAAAATGTCACGCACTCCAATTCTAAGAATACTCGACATAAATCTCCAGCAATGCATTTATGGCTGAATATTATCTTCACATCAAACTTGAACTAATTGCATAAATCTAAATTCCAACTCAGTGAACTACTTAATAAAAGCAGAAAATTCACTATTTGGTTTTGTTAGATTTCAATGGCATAAAAGAACTGCTTGGGTTTAAACAATCCTAGGTGCCAATGGTCTCCTTTTATAAGGTAGCTCTACAAAAATTACATCTAGCATCTACATCATAGCACATGTATACACATGAATTAATGAAACATTTTTACACTCCCTAAAAACCATGGCATGATCTAAAGCACTAGCCATCCAAATGAAACACAAAGAAATACATCAGGGCATAAAATCGAAGGCAAGAGCAACATGTTGAACTAAATCAACCATTCCATATTACATATCCACTGATCAACTAATACAGTCTAACAAAAACTCCAACTGATGTTGTGGCAAATATAGTAAAACTACAAACATTACCAGCTTAACAGCCACTTCCTCTCCACTTTGTACATTAGTGCCTGCGAAACAAAACAAAAACCGATATCAATGATAAAAATGTAAAGAAAAAACAAAGAACACAAAGCCATTATCATAATACCTAAATAAAGTTCGCCGAACGATCCATTCCCGATCTTTCTACCAAGCTTGAATTTTCCACCAATAATATGTTCCATGCTCTATTCTTGATTAACTTTTTACACCTAACTACAACACAGTAAAGGGAAAGAAAAACACCCCTGCCCTCTTATTTCTCTTTGCTAATATTGACAAATTGACTTATTACCCTTCTCTTTAAAGCAACTCTCAGATCCATTAAAATTCTAATCTAATCAATTCCAAAGACCAAAACCCAGTTTTAAAATCCTCACAAAACCACCCTGCTAGAAAAAAAAACGATCCTTTAACTTCTTTACTCTTTAATGACTAGAGGGATAAATGAAGGGAGAAATTTTGACTGAGAAACTACTGAATCCCCATCAATCAGTGAACCAAAACAAACGTTTTCAGACCATCAAGCTGCATTTTCTAGTTAGGGAAAAGTAAAGCGAAATTTTTAAAGAGATCAAAGCTTAGGAATATTAAAGAAAAACAAAAAAAGGGGTATATTTGATTGCCCCGGTAAAGGGGAATATGGGGAAGAGAATCTAAAAGTAACGAATTTATGGGCAAAAATTTTGGGCGACGATCCTTAGATCTGGGTTTTTGAAGAACATTTAATTTCCTCGGGAAAATTCTTCTGAACGAACAAAAATGATTTTTTGTGCTTGCAAAGAGGGAGATATATAAAAACGGAAGATTGGAGAGAAAGTTGAATTATTTAATTGATAATTATACTATGAAAAAAAACTATTGATATTATAGTACACCCAAAATTTGTATTAAAAAATATAGATTTTGTATAAAATATTTTTTAAAAATTAACATAAAATATTAAAACTATTGTTAAAAATTATATATATTAATTAAAAAATTTGATATTGTAACTTGATTTAATTTATTGATAATTAAATTCGATTTTTAATTAAATTAAAATTTTTAGGGTAAATTGTGCATTTAGTACCTAAAATTTCATTTTTGGTACGTTTTAGTACTTAAACTTTCAATTTTTATAAAATCATACCTAAAGTTTAGTTTTTGCTTCATTTTAGTATCATCGTTAACTTTTTGTTTCATTTTAGTTTCCCGCTATTTAGTTTTTGCTTCATTATATTATCTAAATTTTTAACGGCGAGAGTACTAAAATGAAACCAAAAGTAAACTTTAGGTACGGTTTTAAAAATTTTGAATGTTTATGTACTAAATATGTAGTTTGCCCTTTTTTATTAGTTTTAGGATTTAAGGTGAATATAAGTTAGTATCTTTTCAAATACTCATAATCATTTAACAATATGAACACTCGTACGCTCCTGCATATACAATGCTCAAACCCGTTGCCTCAAAGAATAACAATAATTCCTTAATCAATAAGATCTCTTGATCGTACTAATTAAATTATCATTTAAATTTTATATTTTTGAAAGTTTAAAACCATTTAAATTCTTCTTTATTCATTAAATCCGGACATATTTACATCCAAAGTAATTTAATTTAATTTCAAAAAATAAATTTAGATATCAATTTAAATAAAAATATGTTTTAATACTTAATTAGATAAAAAATCATAAGTATTAAATTGATCAAATAAATCAAGTTAAAACATTGATTTAGATGAAAATTTTTATTTTAAATATCTATTCATAAAAAACATTGAAACGTCATATTGAAGCTTCAACTCAAATTTATATACCAACAGCATATATGTACTCTTATTTTATTAAAATTGATACAAAATATAATATGAATTATTTAATAAAATAATAAAAATTTAACCTTTGTTAGGTTGAATTTATAGGGACCGTTGTTGTTAGGTGATAAATTTATAAGCACTAAATTGTGATAAATCATTTTGTTTTGGAATTTGAATTGTTTTATTATTTAAAAATAAATTGTGACAATTAATTAGGTAAATTTATTTGTTAATTAATGGTGGGGGTAGGAGAGACATGATTGAGAAAGTGTAACTCTCTTAGAAATATATATATAATCCCTTAGGGTGCATTTAATTCACGGAATGTAAGATTATCGGTGAGAATGTAAGATTACCAGAAAATAGGATTACCGGGAATATTATAGTTTGTGCTTAGTTAGTTTTGCAATAATGTAAGATTACCGTGTTTGGTTAAATGAATAAAAGATTATTAAAATGTATATTTGAATAAAAGATTATTAGAATGTATATTTGACTAAACTGTTCTTATTATATATTTGTTTTTTTAACAAGTTGAAAAATATTTATATATTTTCTTTAAAAAATTTAAATTCATAATATATATATATATATATATTACAAAATTGAAAATATAAAAAGGTTTAATGAAAGGGTACAATTTTATTTTAACCTAACTTCATATAAAATTTTAATTATAGATTTTTTTTGTAAATCTAAAATAGTTTAAGGATAAATTTGTAATTTAACCTTCGTAGAATTTTTATTATTTAATGACAAAAGAATGATATTTTTAAAGAAAAAAAATTAACGGCATTTTAGTCCAGAACGTCGGTAATCCAACAATATCTAAGGAAATGGAGATAATGACATTTCGGGTAATATACTTCAAAAAAATACTATTGGTAATAAAACATTACCGGGAATGAGATTCCCGGCCAACCAAACATAGGAATGTGGAATTCCCATGAAAATGGAATAAACAAGTCGTGTATAATTATACATTATTAAATACAAAAATAATTTATTTATTTATTTGATTATAAAATTCAAATAAATAAAACAAATTGAACAATAAATTCCTATTGATTAATTTAGAATAAACCAAATTTATTTTCAATGGATCATATTGATCGATGTGGATTAATGCTTACCCTACCAAATTGTATTTGTTTGATTTATCCACATGGGTGCATGTAGGAAAAATTGGCAAAACTAGGATCCAAGCAAGCACAAGTCAATTACATAGATTTGATTTGGACCACAGCTCAATATATATATATATATATATATATATATAAATACCTACCACGAAACGATGGACCTCGGTGATAAAAAACTTATTGTTATTTCTTGATATTTCAAGTTCGAGCACCATGAATATAAACTTACAAACTTCAAACATAGATAATAAAACGAACATGAATCATAAATAAACAAATACATGAATTACTAGATTTAGGTAATTTATAGACGTGTTTTATATTTTGTTATTTCCACACCATTAAATTTAAAAACATAGCTAATGACCCACGAACTAATTTACCTCGGTAGTTAAAGAAATCGTTATTATTCTTAGAGGTCACGGGTTCGAGCACCAACGACTGTAGCAGAGTGATTGAGCGTTCATTGTCGATTGGTTGAGAATATTTAGAACATATACTACTTTGTAACCGCCTTAGCTTTAATAAAAAAACACAGTTAATGGCATCTTGAATCCTCTAATTATGACTTTTATTATAAATTGATTTTTAAATTTTTAATTATTTTATTTTCATCTAAATATATAATCAATTTCAACTATAATTTAACCTAAATTTTAATTTTCAAACATACAATATCATAGTTTGGCCTAACAGTTTTATTAATATGTGATACACTTAGCATATACCGATAGTTTGGGATAAAATTAAAATATTAAAAAATTTAAAGACTAAATTATAACGAGTCATAATTAATTTGCAAATGAAATTAAAACGTTAAAAAATTTAAAGACCAATTTAAAATAAGATTCATAATTAATATTTGAATATTTATAATTTTACTTAAATAAAATAAATTTATTGCTAAACAATAATTAAAGTTAAAATTAGAATTATCTTAATTATATTTTCCTTGTTAAAAAAATCTCCAAGTGAAAAGGATTGATAGCCATTGAAGCTTTTCATGTCTCGGACAAATAAGTTATTGATTAGGTGGAATAGCTAATCAATATCAATAATTAAAAGTTGTCCACTATTATATATATATATATATATATATATATATATATATATATATATAATTGGTGATTTTTTAGGTGAGATAGGTTGTCTTGGAGGCATCTATGGCCTATGGGGAAACAATATCTTCATGGTTATAGGGTATTAATTATTAGTAAGATTTTTTTTGTGGTTTTCAATATCAAATATAATAATAAGTTAAACTCAAGAACGAATAGTTTCATTGATAAAAGTAAATATTAATCTTTTCAAAAAATTTAGGCTCGAATAACGATATGTATCGGATGTGTATACATTATCAAAAGTTAAAAATATTGTGAGTAAATATTATCTTATGATCGCTCAAACTATTCATAAAATATATCATAGATGAACTCAAAAATCTTTCCAACTGGCATGATATTTAAGGGTTTTTTGAGTTCGAGTTTAAAGTGAATTTTTTATCCGACCCGACAAAGATAATAGTATAATTATTTATAATATATTTAAAGATAGTTGCAATAATTGATATGAGATGACAATAGAGTGATGAATATTGCTCAAAGTTGAAGAATCAAGCCTAGAGATATAGACTCAATCAAAGAACAAGATTGAAGGAGGTTTAGGGTTTATTGTAAATTTAGGGTTTTGAATGGGGAAGTTGTTGGAAAACTCAAGTAAGAACAAATGTTTATTAGTACGGTGAATGTAAGATAACAAATATGAATAAAAGAATGAATAAAGAATCAAACAACAAAGATAAAAACACTTAGTCAAATTAGAGTTTTCGACTGAGACGGTTCATGACAAGGAATCAAACAAGAATATAATAATTAGAAAGATAATTGAAAATATATAATGAATAAATAAAACGATCAATGGAAAGATATATAAAGATTAAAAAAACTCAAATTGAAATTTCACCTGATATGTGTGGCGGTGGAGTGATATAGGGTTTATGGATAAGTAATTACCATTGTTGTTGTTGTTGTTGTTGTTGATGATGATGATATATTGATGTCCTACGAACTCTCCTAGTCACAATTGACTAGGCAAACTCGATAATCGACTCTAACCAGCCTTTCTAATCGTAATGAAGAGGTAAACCGGAGTGTGAAGATATCGCTTATGAAGAACTTAGTGATAAAGAATGCTTCGAAGGCACAAGGCTATCAACACTTGCAAAATCGTACTAACATTGTATTATTATTCAAGAAAAAATATTATTGCAATGGTGAATGAAGCCTCCTTTATATATACGACGAGTTCTAAAGTCATAAGTAACTAATAAATAAAATAAAAATAAACTAGAGATAATATTTTATTCTAATTCTTAATAATAGTCATAAAATATAATGCAACTTTCTATATTAAATTATATTACAAATAATCAATAAAAATATTGAAAATTCATAATATTTACAAAATCCTGTATTAATCTCGTATAGAAATACTTGTGTGCACTTTCTTCACAAAAATGGACGTATCTTGAGTTACCGACATCGAATTGATGTGATTCAAGTATTGTTGAAAAGATAAATGATAGTCGGTTGTATCTATAGAAGAAATGTTGACCAAATAACACCTATATCTCGTTTAAAAAGTCATTGTAAGTCTGATGTTGTTTTGGCTTTTTTCCAAGGTTTGGACGTGTAGATTAATTGGGAGAGTTAGTCTTCCTTTGATGTGAGGCTTGTGGTGCATGTATCAATAATACCACAGTCATTATATTTTTTCAATTAGATCTCTATTTTACCTGATATATATATATGGGCTAAAATCCAATTACATAGAGTAAAACTAAAAAGTTTTACACATTTTTAGGATCGTTGGATGAAGGGAAATCAATGGCTCAGATTAACAGTAGGAAATGAGAAGATATCTATTGAAAAAAGAACAATGAGTTAATCTCATCATTTGATTTCCCCCATCCAACAATCTTAAAGATTGTGAAACTAAAAGTTTTACAATATCTATAAGTGGGAAACTGTTGGGACATAATATTTTTGATTTTGTAAAACATGAAATGAAAAGATATACATCAAAATTATTGTACTAAGAATAAATAAATTCTTAAAATTAATGTGTTTAAAACTTATGATTACGTCGTAATCTGATTAAGTGATAATATATAAAATTATGAGGGAATTCTAAGGGACGAAAATCTAATTTAAGGCTAAGAAAATGCGTAACATAGAAACACATAACATTTTCGGTTGGACGCAACTTAAAATGTTATTTTTTTTCTTAATTTTTTCGCAACATTTTAGGTTGGCAAAAAAATTGCTACATTTTTCA